GTTATAGACAAAAAAGATGAGACAACTAAATAACACAAATTTACAAGATACTCATAATATCTTGTTCAAATGCACCACTTGAGTTTGTTCTCTATTTGTTGAATGCATCCTCTTAATTTGCTGACCGCTGTCGATATATCTGCCTAGTGGGTTTGCAGTGATCTCGAAGGTCGATTAGTACCAATGTGTGCCGGTAGCATTTGTTTATATTCTTGCGCAATGAGTTCCCAAACTCTGGTGCAGAGGGATCATTGTCCTTTTTAGGATCTTGAGAAATATCCATAAATATACTACAAAGTAGTTTATCTTCCTCATTTGAGTATGATGCAGTTCGGATTAAACATGAGGGGTTTGACATATTTCAATGAGTGTTAAACGGGAAAGAAATGTAAAGAGATTTTGAGATTCAAAAGAGAGGTTATATTACTTCTAAAATCTAATTGTAGTATTTATAGAGATACAAGGATACCAATTAATGGTTGAGATCTTTGTGATCTAATCCAATGGTTGTAAACAATTTTGATAAAAGCTTATTCAAAGATTTGGTATCTTTAATTGGAATATGCATGTGTGAAAAAAGACATGCATACTAATTAACAGATAAGATCTTTGCGATCTAATCTAACGGTTGTAAACAATTCTGATAAAACTTATTCAAAGATTTGGTATATTTTATTGGAATATGTGTGAAAAAAGACATGCATACCAATTAATGGATGAGTTCTTTGCGATCTAATCTAACGATTGTGAACAATTCTAATAAAGCTTATTCAAATATTTGGTATCTTTTATTGGAATATGTGTGAAAAAAGATATGCATACCAATTAACGGATGAGATCTATGCAATCTAATCTAACGGTTGTAAACAATTATAATCATGCTTATAAAAACGTCCGGCATCACCAACCTATTGAGCATTCATCCCTTTATCATTTTTGCATCTAATTCTAAACATATAAATTCAAATATGAATTCCGACATTGGTAAACGTCGTATGCCATTTTCTTCATCATCATCCTCATTATCATCATCATCACCGGATGTTGAGTTTGATCTCGCATGTGCAATACGAGCACAAACACAGTTATTAACCAATGCATATACTAGCCACAACCGTGCCATAACTTCCTGATATGGAAGAAAAACTAATTGAGGAATCAAAATATTTCACAGGAAGAATGGAAACAAATATCAGCGTAGAAAATCAAGGAAATATTCAAAGGAATCAGAGTCATCAACTCATGCCTATAATCAAGGAGTTAATATAGTATACAACTTCTATCTTTCTATCTGGCCTTTTTAATTCTCATTCTCTTTTTATATAAGTCTGTCCTGTTTTATGAAAAATACATAGCAATTGAATACAATATTAAGTTTATAAGAGTTTTTCATGGTATCAGAGCCTTGAAACTCGAAAGCATCAAGAGCCCAGTTCCTCCATTTTCTTATTATTCAGTCATGGAAGAACCCAAGCTTGCATTACAATCATTCCATCAGTGTGCCAATTTGATTCAATCAAACTAGGCTCCAATAACTATCCCATGTGGCGATCACAAATCATTCATCTCGCTCATAGTCTTGGCGTGCTTCATCAGTTGGAAAAAAATGATGACAAACCTGAATGTTTGATAAAAGATGGGGTTGTGAATCCACCATATACCTTGTGGTTCACAAATGATGGTCTTCTTATTTCATGGTTGCATTGCACAATAAAAGAAGAAGCTCAACCATCCATTGCAAAAGATGCTACCGCTTATGATGTGTGGAGTTCTTTAGAAGAACAACTGCTGCCAATCACAATTGAAAACGAAGGCATTTTGAAAAGTATGTTGGCAACCATCAAGAAAGGATCACGATCCTTAGATGACTACACAAAAGAATTCAAATCAATCTGCGATAACCTAGCAGCTATCAAGAAACATGTGGATGATCTTGATAAAGTTTTTCAATTTGCACGTAGACTAGGAGCGAAATATGAAAGCCTCTGTCTAGCTATGGTAACTAAACCTCCTTATCCAAAATTTAATCAATTTTTACCTACTTTTCAGGGATATGAGCAGACCCTAGCCTCTCAAAAAGAAGAAGAGAAAAATTATATTGAATATAATCAAGCACTCTTTAGCCAACGTGGATGTGGACGTGGACGTCGCGGGAGTTTTAATTCAAAAGGTAGAGTATTTACTCCAGCAGGACGATCTGGACGCTGTTCGTCGACAAGAGCCGACCGGTGCAGAATCTTCTTTTCCCCGGCTGCAAATTGAGACAACTGTTTTTTTTTTTAAATTTCTTTTTTGCTTTCTTGAGTTTTCAATCACTCTCTTGGGCTCTTCTCTGTTCCCCCAATTGTGAGCAGACCACAATTTCAAATCTTTCCCAGGTAATTTTTTGATTTCTCCTACTTTTCTTCTGCCCTAGTTTCTGTTTCCCCAAGTTGAACATGATCATGGAGTTTTGTTTTGCTCTTTTGAAGATGGCAGTGACGGACGTGGAGGTCACCGTAGTTGCGGCGGTGGATGTGGTTGGTGAGGCTGTGGTGCATGCCGACAAGAAAGGGTCATGATTTATTTTCTTGTTTTTCTTACCCCTCAATAAAAGTCCGACTATTTGGGATCACTTATACACCAGAAAACATTTCTAGAAGTAAGGAACATAGAAATGTGAACACTAGTTACGTTACGTTGCATGTGATTTGTATTAATTAAGGATTTGGAACACCTGTTGTTGTCGTCTTCCTGTCTGCCTGTAGTCTACTGTTATTATTGCCAGATAATGCTTAATTTTAACAGCAACTTTTGTGTTGTTCATACTCTGAATCTGAAGTGATGATTCTCTGGAAACTTATTGCCAAGTTAAACTCTTTTCTGCTAGAATGTAGAAGTTATAGTTTGCTTGCATTTGTGGTCAAGAATCTTTTCCAGTTCAGAATCTGATGTATATCTGTAAATTGTTTGTTTGTTGTACATGAAGCTCGGTTAAGATGGAAGCTTACATCCCAAAGAACATCCTTGTCACCAGAGCTGTCGGATTAATTGCATCTCATGTTGCAAACAGGCTTATCAGGAACTCCCCAGATTACAAGATTGTTGTTCTTGATAAGCTTGACTACTGCTCAAACCTCAAGAACCTTTTGCCCTCGAGCTCGTCCCCTAACTTCAAGTTTGTCAAGGGAGATATTGGGAGTGCTGATCTTGTAAAGCACATTCTCGTCACCAAGTCTAAGAGAGAGAAAGCTAAGCCTAAGAGAGATAACAGAAACCTACAAAACACAATGAAAGGACCAAAATACCCCCAAACTTAATGTTTGGTTGACGCAAAAGGTAACAGAGGACCAATTTGGGGTAATTTTTAAAAGTCATGGGATCACATTGGGTGCAATTGAAAGTCAAAATGCAAAATTGAGAATGAGCAATAGTCGAGGGGCTATTTTGGGAAAAAACTCTTCTTAATCCGTCAATTTTTGAATAGATCTAGCTTAGTTGTAGCGGATCTGCTCCGCAACAAATCTGAGGAAAAAATCCAACATCAAACGGCTACGAATATGTTAAGGTAAACATCAATAAATTTTTTTTATAGTGTTTGAACTCTACATTTGTTCCCTGTGTATATACTTCGTGTGCGCCTACGTATATAGTCTCTATCCGGGAAATGTGACTCCGTCTTCTCTCCACCTTTTTAGCCTCCCTACGACCCGACGCACCTTCTCGCTTCCTTCTACCGATTGTTTCAGTTTTTTTCTCCGGCGAGGTGGAAGAGGCTTGTTTCCAGATGATTCTTCATCTGCATGCACCGATTTATTTTTTCTCCTGTTTCCTTCGCTTCATTTTTTCAGTTTTACTCCACCCCCCAAATCGGAGCTGTAATGTGCAATCTGGAACATGCATGACCCTTTGGAACCAAGAACTGGACATGATCGGGTCTACAAATACAGGTTTTTTTTCCAGCTTTTGTTTATTTATGGTTTTTTAATAATTATATACACTGCTGGGAATTATGAAATTTCCGACCACTTGAAAGTGATCTTAAATCAAGTCGAAAGCCCTGTTCCGACCACTTTTGGTATTCGGAAAAACCTTTGTTGCTATTTTCGATCACTTTTTGCTTTCGACTTGATTTAAGATCACTTTCAGGTGGTCGGAAATTCCATAATTTCCAGTAGTGATACCGTCATGGCTTTGACATATATACTGTATGTAAAATTTCCTGCAAAAATCCTTCATGCATCTTTGTATGTAGAATTGTATTCCAACCTCTATGTTAATATGTTTTTCTCACCTATAGAACAATTGTTGTATTTTTCTTTGTGGTAAATTATACTTTTAATGGGCACATATTGAAAGCAAAGCACAAAATCATGGAAAAAGAGCTGCATTATAAGAAGTTTAAAGCATGAACAACAGGTATTGAATGGTACCTCTATCTTCAACCGTTTATTTTCTTTTGCCACAAATGGTAGTTGACCCCTTCAACTTTCTCATTGTTCTTTACTCTGTTAAGTATTATCTTCCAAAAGTTCATCCTTTAGTATGAATATATATTGAACATGTTCCTCACTTAAATGACTTCTATACAAAAGTCTCTAGAAATCTAGATTACTTTATTCTGATTATCAATGCAATGATTTTTTTTTCTTTACTATAATGTAAATTTGTCAAAACAAATGCAATGCATTTAATACATAAAAAATGAACTTGGTATTTAGGTGGTAGTCTACTGACTACTAACAAATAAGGAAGAATAATAAGCAAAACATTTTTCATTGTTGCATGACTTACCTCTTGATTATGAAACAAACATTCTCGACTTTTAATAGATTTACTTGTTTTGCTTTAAGTGGCCAAATAGGTGTGCACTAAACCTAAGCGAATAGCTTTGGTGGTCTGTTGAGGGTGAATCAACCAACAAAGAATGAACTGCAGACATCTTGAGAATCCCTGAATTACCTCTTAAACAATATGGTGCATTCGTGGTGGTTGTTTAGGATTTACTAACTTTATCTCTATATACCTACAGCAGGTCTTGTAAATGTAGTATTGTCAAAGGAAATGGAGAACGCAGCTCAGGTAGTCACTATCTTTGGTGAATAGTACAGTTGACAAATGCAAGAAGCTTATATATATATATATATATATATATATATATATATATATATATATATATATATATATATATATATATATATATATATATATATATATATATTATGATTGCTGATGCACAGTATCTAATGGTATTGAAGCTTTGGCTAAATAACTTCCTGTTGAAAAGACACGGTAGGTTGTTGACTTCCTAACACTTGAAATTGTGATGGGTACTATGGATTGGTATTTTAACTTGAGAGGTTTCCCCACTACATCTATTGTACTAGTCTTTTGGATGAGTCTCTTCTTGGGCTTGAGTACTTATCATTGGCCTTCAAAGACTTTATGCTTTATTGAACTTTATATTTTAGACTTTTAGTTGAGTTCTACATTTATGTTTTTGAATCTCCAGGTACAAGGCATGGGGTTCTCTCTTAGGAAGACAGTTATCAGAAAGGGATATCATAGTGGCATGTATTGATTACAGGTACCTGATTCTATTTAAAAGATGAGAAATACTCATCCAGTAGTAAGTATTCAGCTTGTGGGTTATAACTCTTGATTTTCTAACTTCATATGAAGCAAAATGGATACAAATATGTTTTAAGTGGTTGGTTGATAAGTTACTGACAGGAATTGACACACCCATTTTGCTAAACTTTAGTTCTGTATTCATTTATGATCTATGTGATGAATGTAGCATGCTAATCATATTTAAAAATCATGTGCTACATTCCTCTTTTTATACATGCATATATACTTAAAAGTATAAAGTATCTATTATCATATGCAAATTTATTATCTGTAAATTTTAGTTTTGGTTGCATGCTCATCGCTTTGAATAACAAATTATTACATTATGTCTGTAAAAAGGGCAGCGGATGCCTAAACTAATAATAATAAATTAATAGTATTCGCTACCCTTCTATTTAAAGAAGGGCAACGAATGCTTTAAAAAATAAAATAAAATAAGAGAATCCGCTACCCTTATATATTTAGAAGGGTAGCGGATGTTTAACTTTTCGCTACCCTTGTGAAAGGTAGCGGAAAGCTCAAGGCTTTCAGCGCCCCTCACATTCTCTACCCTTGTACAAGGGTAGCAGATGTGCATATCTGTACTAGTGTGTAGAGGTTTTGTGTGTCTGGCAACCTAATATTTATTACGTGCACGGATGCGAAAAGTTATTATTTCTGAAACAAGACGTTTCTTTGTCCCTAAGAGTTCTACCCTGGGAAGGGCAATCTCTTCAACCAATAAAAAATAATGCAAAAAGAAAAAGAAAAAGAAAACAGAAAGAAAACAGTGTCGTTTACTTTTGGGCGGGAATTTCTCACCAAATCTATTTGGCTTTATTATAGTTACGATTAGGATTTGTGTGTGCATATATTCTCTGTTGTGTTGTGTTATTTTCGCTAATTAGGAGAGAGATCTAATATCCTCTTGTTGTATGCATTGTAGTTGGTGTTAATATCAAAATTCTCTTTGTTGTGGACATGAAAATCCTTGTGGTACATTTGTGGTTTTTTTATGGTTATTGGACTGCATTTAAACACATTAAGCTTTTCATTTAGTTACTATTTACCTTAGTTCTTCATTTTTTACCAACTATCATTGACTTTATTTACTCGGCAGTCACATGTAGACGTCATTGTTGCCAAATGCGGCACATGCCGTTATATTCTAGTGAATTTCCGTTTCAAATGAGTGCCCATTTACACTTTGTCTGGACATGCACACTCCGATTTTCTTTTATGCACAAACTATTCTTATCTCAATTGCAAACAGTTAACAACTAATGTGCATAGTATACTTATTGCAATTATAAACAGTTAACAATTAATGTGCACACGCATACGAACAAGTCCTTACTCACGCTAGGACCATACCTGCACACTCTGCAATACATATATGCACAAACTGGAAGTGTTATGCTCTGTGTATATGCACATACGTTCAATTCTTTTTAGTTTCAAATCCACGTTGTGCACACAACTCTTATTTCAGGTGCAAACACTTAACAACTAATGTGCAAAGGTCTATTCTCGTATTGATGCAAAGTCTAAACCCGAATTGCTTTTTTTTTTCTTTTTTCTCCTTTCCCCCTCTTCTTTATTTATTTATTTATTTTATTATTATTATTACAATATAGTTCATAAATGCAAGTGCGTCAATCACCAAGCTATTCAATTAGAACTTAATTGAATTAATTAACTGGAGATAATATTTTATGATTTGTGAGTTGTGACACGTCAAATTATATAAATATTAAGAGTTAATACCTCCAATGGTCCTCCGAGTATTAGTGATATACCAGCTCTGATCCTCCGACTTTAAAACGATCACGAGTAGTCCTCCGTCTTTTCTAAATTAACCACCTGTGGTCCTCCCTTAGAGATGGTGTTAAGTAGACGTTAAATATGGGGACAAATTTGTCAGTTCCTATTTTTTTTCTCTTTAAGGCTGCTGTTCAGCGTGTTAAGTCCCATTTTCATCCAAATCTCTCACATCCCTAATATACATGGTATTGAAGCTCGTTGGTTCGTTGTTTGGCAATGGAGGCGTCGTATGGATCACGCTCTACGATTAGGAGGCGCAATGGAGGCGTCGTTAATGACCGAGTGTTGGTCCCAAAAGAGGTAAGGTGAAAGTCTAGAGAGGGGGGGGGGGGGGGGGGGAGGGCGAATAGACTTTCAAACTTTTTTGCACAGCACAAAAATTGCTAAGGCACAGAGAAACCAAAACTCTTAACTAGATTGTTAGAGACTGGTACGCAGCGGAAATAAATAAAGATAAGTGTGTGAGATTGTGTCAAGTATATCTCGTGAGAAGCAAATAAAGAGCAGTAAGTAAAGAAAGCAGTAAAGAACACAAGACAATTATAGTGGTTCGGAGGTGGTGTAATCGTCCTACTTCACTTGCTCTTATCTCCAAAGAGAAATTCACTATATCCACCACTTCTTGGTTCCAAGATACAATGAATTCTGGGAGCTGCTTTGGGTTTCACGTCGCCGAGCTACTTTCCCAGGATTTCACGACTCTGTGTTACTTTCCCCCCGTCTTCTAAGCCCTCACTAATCACGCACACTGCTGCTTCGGATCTCACAGCTTCGTGCTACTTTCCTCCCTTCCTCCGTGCTATATCACGCACACTGCTGCTTCGGATCTCACAGCTCCGTGCTACTTTCCTCCCTTCCCCATCTTCTAAGCCCTCACTAATCACGCCCCGTTTTCTAAGCCCGCACACTGCTGCTTCGGATCTCACAGCTCCGTGCTACTTTCCTTCCTTCCTCCGTGCTATATCACGGCATTTCCTCACTTCCTCCGTGCTATATCACGGACACTGCTGCTTCGGATCTCACAGCTCCGTGCTACTTTCCTCCCTTCCTCAGTGCTATATCACGCACACTGCTGCTTCGGATCTCACAGCTCCGTGCTACTTTCCTCCCTTCCTCCGTGCTATATCACGCACACTGCTGCTTCGGATCTCACAGCTCCGTGCTACTTTCCTCCCTTTCTCCGTGCTATATATCACGCACACTGCTGCTTCGGATCTCACAGCTCCGTACACTGCTGCTTCGGATCTCACAGCTCCGTGCTACTTTCCTCCCTTCCTCCGTGCTATATCACGCAAACTGCTACTTCGGATCTCACAGCTCCGTGCTACTTTCTTCTCTTCCTCCATGCTATATATCACGCACTTCCTCCGTGCTATATATCACGCACACTGCTGCTTCGGATCTCACAGCTCCGTACACTGCTGCTTCGGATCTCACAGCTCCGTGCTACTTTTCTCCCTTCCTCCGTGCTATATATCACGCACACTGCTGTTTCGGATCTCACAGCTCCGTGCTATATCACGCACACTACTGCTTCGAATCTCACAGCTCCGTGCTACATTCCTCCCTTCCTCCGTGCTGCTTCGGATCTCACAGCTCCGTGCTATATCACGCACACTGCCGCTTCGGATCTCACAGCTCCGTGCTACTTTCCTCCCTTCCTCCGTGCTGCTTCGGATCTCACAGCTCCGTGCTACTTTCCTCCCTTCCTACACCCCCGTAGGAATACTCTGTAGATGATCTTCAATATGATGCAGCAGCTCCGTGCTACTCTCCTCCCTTCCTCCTTGCTATATATCACGCACGTAGCACTTCCTCGGTGCTATATATCACGCACACTGCTGCTTTGGATCTCACAGCTCCGCACACTGCTGCTTCGGATCTCACAGCTCCGTACACTGCTACTTCGGATCTTACATCTCCGTGCTACTTTCCTCTGTGCTTTATATCACGCACACTATTGCTTCGGATCTCACAGCTCCGTGCTACTTTCCTCCCTTCCTCCGTGCTGCTTCGGATCTCACAGCTCCGTGCTATATCACGCACACTGCTGCTTCGGATCTCACAGCTCCGTGCTACTTTCCCGCCTTCCTACACCCCCGTAGGAATACTCTGTAGATGATCTTCAATATGATGCAGTAGCTCCGTGCTACTTTCCTTGTAGATGATCTTCAATATGGATGTAGCAGCTCCGTGCTACTTTCCTCTCTATACGCTGTAGATGATCTTCAATATGGATGCAGCAGCTCCGTGCTACTTTCCTCCCTTCCTACACCCCCGTAGGAATACTCTGTAGATGATCTTCAATATGATACAGCAGCTCCGTGCTACTTTTCTCCCTTCCTCTGTGCTATATTTCACACACGTAGCACTTCCTCCGTGCTATATATCACGCACACTTCATCCCTTCCTACACCCCCATCCCATGCAGCAGCTCCGTGCTACTCAGCTCCGTACTTTCGTAGGAATACTCTGTAGATGATTTTCATCCCTTCCTACCTACACCCCCATCCCATGCAGCAGCTCCGTACTTTCGTAGGAATACTCTGTAGATGATCTTCATCCCTTCCTACACCCCCATCCCATGCAGCAGCTCCGTGCTTTCGTAGGAATACTCTGTAGATGATCTTCATCCCTTCCTACACCCCCATCCCATGCAGCAGCTCCGTACTTTCGTAGGAATACTCTTTAGATGATCTTCATCCTTCCTACACCCCCATCCCATGGGGCAGTTCCTACACCCCCATCCCATGCAGCAGCTCCGTACTTTCGTAGGAATACTCTGTAGATGATCTTCATCCTTCCTACACCCCCATTGTAACACCCCGTGTTACGGCCCCTAA